TCTTCAACTATTTAGCGATTGCAGTGCTTGGCTTCTTCAGGTGGGGTTTTCACCTCGTCGGATGGGGCTTGGGTCTCTGGTCGTAGGAGGTCGGTGGTTGTGTCGAGTGAGCATGAGTCATCGGGTGAGGCGGGACCCTGGTTGCAGCGGCGTTTCCTGTTGCGGCAGTTGGGGTTCGGGGCCCGGGCCACTCACGCTTTTCCTTGGTCGGCTAGTGGTGTTAGGCGGCTGGGGATTGGGTCCTATCGAGCTTGGCTAGTGGTGTTAGACGAGTTCGGTGGGGCTAGTGTGTGGGCTGGTCGGGGCTCTCTCGGTTAGAGATGGGTCGATTCGGGATTGTCTCGGGGGTTGAGTTCAACTGCTGTATAGGCGTTCGTGCAGTTTCGGTAGCGGTTCTCGGGCTCGAGGTTTTCTTTGTGTCGGTCGGTCACTGCTGGTTGAGCTTAGTTCAGTTCGCTGGGGAAGGGCTCCGTTTTGCCTATTATTATTTATGCTATTATTTTTCTTTGTTGTGTGATCGTTGTGTTTGTGTTGGTGTGGTTTATGTAATTTTGGTTTGTGGTTTATGTGTTTTTGGTTTGGGCCGTTGGCCCCGGTTCAGCCTGAGTGTAGCCTTTATTCTCCTGTTGGGAGCTTACACTCAGGTATTACCCTGTTGGGGTCCTTTATGTATTGTTTTGTTGTGTTTCTAGGTTCAGTTGGTGTCGTAGTGTGCTCGTATTGCTAGCGTTGCTAGCTGGTACTCCGTCTAGGTTACATTGGTTATGGGTGTAACCTCTCATGTTTCCCGGCTTCGGGCTGTACATTGCCTTTTGGGTTTTTTTATGAGATATTTTATGCCGTTTGAAAAAAAAAAAAATTAAGATTAATTTTTTTAACAATCATTCGTGTAATACACGGTTGTTGTATTAGTGTTATCCATTGAATTACTAACATCTGAGAACTGGCCCATATTCAAATTGAGATTTTACACAAGTTACTCTCTTCTACAACGAATATATATATTGGTACCTCTATTGTTCACTCTATTGGAAGAATAATTTTTATCAAAAATTTCTAGAGCATTATGTACGAGGCAAAAAAAAAGGAATAAAAAAGGAAAAGAAAAAGAAATGAATATTAAGATGAACGAATTAAGAAAATTTATGAAAAAGAACAGTGCTATAAATCCAGTGAATGTGAAAGATATTATGAAAATTTTTTTTTAAATCATGTCAAATCTTAAAGATATTTTTTATATAGATAATGTGTTTATTTGCATTTCAATAAGTAACTTGAAAAATTTGAATTATTGCAGTCTCATCAGAATGTTATCAAATTTGTAAATGAATCCATCACCTTTCAAATGTCAAATAATTGAGAAGATTAGTTGCAATCATATTATGGCATGATTGGTATGATTAAATAAAATTTGATAGAAATTGAATGAGTAGAATAATTGAATGATTATAGGAAAGTATGAAATAAGTTTTTTCATTGATATTTTTGGTATGCGAAAGGAATAAGATCTGAATGGAGTGATATTATCATCCTATTTTATCATTTATCACTATTGTATAAAAAATATTTTCACAATTTATATTAATATCATTTTCTTATTATGATTATATTAATATTATTTTTATTTAAAAAATATACTATATTTTTAGTACATATTTTTTTTATATTCTTACACTCATCTTATATAATAAATTAGTGAATTATTTATATATATATATATTATTTAATATAAATATATCATTACGTGAACCCCATAACATATGTGGTTGTGTGTAGTAATTTTTTATTTTATTCAATTTATTAAGAAATATATAATATATATGTTTATATAAAAATAAAATAAGATATTTATAAACCATCTATAATTGCATTTCTGTAAATATTATTTTTATAAAGTATTTAATATATCTAATTAAAATATGGATAATAAATAAAAAATAAAATTATTTTTTGTTATTTACTTGAAATTTATTTTTGCAAATAAATAATTTTAAATATAATTTTAATCATGATTTATAATATATATTTAATTTTTTATTATTATTTGTGAGTTTTGTTTTTGAAAAAACAAATCATAAACATATGAGAATGAGAAAAATATACATTAGCTTTGTATTGGGCCTATTGGCTAATCCCGTGGGGATGTTTTGTAATTCACATTGGAATAGTCATTTCTTAAAAAAAAAAAATTTGCCAATCATGGGATTAGGATGATCATTTCATTCTCATGGCATTTCATCATACCAGTCATGTCACTAGTGCATTATGTACCAATGGATGTGAAATACTCTAAAATACGTGCTTTTATCAAATGTATGAAAACTTTAGAGATGAATAACTGCCTAGGAAAAAGTACATACCATCAACACTTTCAAAAGTTAAGTATGTATACAATGTATTATTGTATGGAGAAAAATATTAGTTTATATGATCTTCTAAATATACGAATATACGGAACAACTTGACCGGCCAAGTGGAATTAGTAATAATTTATATATTGTGCATTATTGTTTCATATCAAACAAATTTAAGTATAATACTTGCAATTGCATCATCTATAGTTGTTCCTGCAATGATACCAACTAGAAGGACAACACAATTACGTTTAAAAGTACCAAGTGATATAAATGACTTATGTGTGTTTAGTCTTTACGTAATGCACAATTAATTATATGTGATGAAGCACAAAAGGAAAAACAAAGGACAATCTAAACTTTTGATTTTTTTTATTAAAGAATATAATGGAAAATGATGAAAATATTGGTGGAATAATTATAGTCTTTCGTGAATTTTTTTTTAAAAGTTTTACCAGTTGTCCGACAAGCCGCAATCCACCAAATAATTTTAGCAAGTTGGGTCAAACCCACATTTTGGTATAAGATAAGGAAAATTACTTTGTTGAGAAACATTTTGTCTATGAAATCTAGCCATTGGTAAATTCTTTATCTAGAGTTTTTTTTTTTTTTTTTCGAAATGATAGATGATATTATAAATCAAAATGCACAAATGTGCGAATACACAGCCCCTAGCTTAATGGAATAGCCAACAGCTGAAAAAGTGGGAGGATATGTCATAAAACCGGCCAAAATCTCGATTCTAGCAAAACTAGAATAACAAAACTCACAACTACACAAACCAACTACACAAACATAAACTAAAACTACTAAAAAAGATCCCACCAAGATAATACCCGAGTATCCGATCCCAACAGGATAATAAGATGATACTCGGGCAGAACAGAGGGCCAACGGCCAGACCAAAAACACAAACCTACCACAATAAACAAAAAACAACACAGAAAACAGAATAAATACAAAGGGGGCCCTTCCACAACAACTATTCCAAGTCGAATCTGCAGTCACCAAATCGACCCAGAAACCTAGAAATTGTGAGAAATCAACATAGAAATCCCCTATATATAATTCCCGAATGTGTTGAGCCTAAGTGGCAGTTTCGCACGATTCGGGATCTTATGTGGCAAATTTTCATGTTTTGTCACTTGGCTTGGATAGATTTTAATTTACTTCCACTCCAGAAATAACTAGATTTAGAATATCCAAATATTTATGATATTTTTAAGAGCATTAATTATGTTTTAATATAATTTCGTATTCTAGACATGATTTATAAGGTATAAATTTTTTACCCCAATCTTTCTTTTTTCCTTATCTTTCTTTTATAATTATAAGAAAATTACTAACTTTTAAATATAATTGTAAAAATTTACTAACTTAAATTATAAATATATTTAAAAAAGTTAATAAATATTTTATTTATTATCAACTCTTTATTTATAATATATGAAATTAGTCATGCCTTGATAAGCATCGATTAGACATACATATTGTATATACAAAATAAATAAATAATCATATATATCTTCATAATAAAAATTATATCACCTATTAATAGTAATTGAAAAAATTAAATTATTTAAATTAATTTAACTACAAAGTAGTTATAGGATATACATTAAAAAGTTATTATACTATAAGATGGTAAGTCATATAAGTGACGGGTGTCATTTTAAATATAAATAATAATATATTTTTCAAAAAGTATTTAAAAATTTAAACAATTTTTTTATATTTTTTAATTTTAAATATAAATGTAGTAGCATGCACCCGTGTAATACACGGCCCAGTAATCATTTTGATGAATTTAAAGTAATCTAATGGACTTCTTTCTGTAAAATTTTTAAAGATAATATAATTGATTCAGAAATTCATTTGGGCAACATACCAAAAAAAATGTTTTTATAACTTACATACCATTTTCACTAAAAAAAGATATTTGTATGTATTGAGATGCAAGCAATTCCTGATTAGACTTTACTGTGACGTGAAGATCACTAAAGCAAGTTCGAGGACAAACAAATGTAAACATAGGTTTCTATTTCTCTTAGTAATTTGTATTCTCGTAGCCAATACATATTTGCTATACAAGAGAACTTAACTTCCACGACCAAAGCTTAGTGAAACTAGACCACACATGCTCATGAAGAAATAAAGCAAATATAGTGTGTAAACAAGTTTTAAGCTTGGTAACTGTTTTAAACTTTACTATGCTACATGTTAATACGTGTAATAAATTAATTATACTTACTTTGTAAAGAATTCATGTGGAAAAAAATAATTATGCCACCACGTGCACCTTACTAGTTCATATAGAATGCAAAGACATAAATTTTATGTGAATTCTCACTATTTGTCCTTGCTTTTCTGGTGAAGGATATTGTTATATAATTGTTTGATTCTTGTATTGAACAGTCCAGCTTATCTGCTTGAATTTTGATTATAAGTTTGTCCTCAATAAGTGATCCGAGTAATTACTTTCATTCTTGTTTTTGCTTGCACTTTTAAATATTTTTGCGAGACTTACATGTAGGAAAGCCAACATGAGTTTTCATTTCTACATTACTGCAGTGCACCATAGTTCAAATATTAGTTTTGTTATTGACAGGGTTTATCACCATATGAGAAGAAAAATATGTCTGGAAGATGCTCTACATTTCAATGCTAGGTTATGATGTTGATTTTGGTCATATGGAAGCTGTTTCTTTAATATCTGCACCAAAGTATCCTGAAAAGCAGGTATGCCCTATTTCTTATAGGATCACATGCTTGCTTCAACTTCTCCATGCGAGCGAGTTTCTTGGTGATTTCGTTTTTTTATTTGTCGAATTTTAGCATTACCTCTTTAAAATAAACAAATCACTTAAGTGCATGTTCAAATCTTTTGGTTTCTGCTTTTTCGTGAATGATGTTATAAAGGAGTAGTGAAGGGACCCTACAAAAGTTTTTTGTTTACTGAAGACTGTCATGATTAATTTATCAATATGCTGTTTCATTTATATTTGTAAGATAATAATGTTATAAAACGTAGTTGTGATGAATATTTGTCGAGTTGGTTTATAAGTTTGATACCAATTTCACTTCATACAATTATTTATATCATGCAAACACAATGAACCTACAGTTGCTGTTGAGGATTATATCCATTGGGCCTATGATTTTCTCAACATTAGTTGAGTAGTTTAATTATGTTGCTTTATGACGATTGCAAATGGAGCTGGAAGAGTCATTGTTGACAATTCTCCTGACATAGTGCTAATAATGGACTAGATCAAAATGACTCAATTAAATTCTAGTGCTTCTTCTATTAGTGAAGTTTCTAGAAAAAAAAATATATATTAAACGGCGCAATGCACCTTGGGTCGCTACGGAAACAACCTCCTTGTATATTTACAAGGGTAAGGTCTGCGTACAACTGACCCCCCAGACCCCAGCCTGTTGGGAATATACTGGGTATGTTGTATGACGATCATATTAGTTTCGAAGTAATGTTTAAATAGATCCAGTTGGGTATTGTTAAAGCTATTAGTAGCAGAAGAATCTTAGGGACGTAAGTTTATGTGGACAAGGGAAAAGGTAGAACTTCGATTTGTTATAATGCATGTAGAGTGACAAAGAAAGGAAGTATTGGTCTTACTATTTTTAGTATTGGTCAAATATTTACTGATTTTTGGCAGGTGTATCATGTCATAGCTATCAGTACTATTCAGTGCATTTACTGTTATCCTTATTGTAATTAGGATCCTTGGTGAATAAGTTCCACGATGTTTATAGGTCTGCAAGACATTAGTTCCCAAAGCTTCTGTTCGCTAAGAATGTGCTGTTATCCATTGTTTCTGTTGACAAAGTTTATTAAGGAATGGTTATACTCTGGTGATAAGGAGAATGTAGTTTCTCTGAGTTTTATTGAGAGGATAATGAGCTCAGTTGTTAAACTTCTCATCTCACATCCTCTTTCCGTCCATGGATATGGTTATAGAAGAATAGGCTAGTAAACTTGTGATATGATTTTTGCCTTAAAGAATTAATCGAAATATTTTTAACATACATTACCAGCATTTATCTCAATGAATGCATTGGCAACAACCATGCCTTACAAGTTTATGGTTATAATATTTCATATGTTCACTGGCTTTATATTTCTTTCTTGTTACAGGTTGGCTATACAGTGACATCTTGTCTTCTCAATGAGAATCACGATTATCTGAGATTAGCAATTAATACTGTGTGCAATATTGCTTTCTTGTTACAGGTTGGCTATATAGTGACATCTTGTCTTCTCAATGAGAATCATGATTTTCTGAGATTGGCAATTAATACTGTGCGCAATGACATCATTGGTCGCAATGAGACTTTTCAGTGTCTTACTGTAACATTGGTATGATTTGGGTCTGTATTCTCTTCAAATGATTTATGGAAAGTTGGTGTAGACAGACTGGTTGAGATAATGATTTGGAAGTTTTACTCGAGGCAATTTCTTTATGCTTTGATATTTGGCTCCTACTGTGGTTTCATTGTTGCCTTCCTTTTCTTGATTCAATCTCTTTGTATATATGCAGGTAGGCAATATTGGTGGGAGAGAATTCGCTGAATCTCTGGCTCCTGATGTTCAAAAGTTACTTGTAAGTGAATACACTTGGGGAGTAATAAGTTGAAATGACAAAATAATAAGTGAGTTTGATATTATTATTATTTTTCCAGATTTCTAGTAGCTGCAGGCCTCTTGTGAGGAAGAAGGCTGCTCTATGTCTCCTTCGCCTTTATAGAGAAAACCCTGATGTGGTGAATGTAGATGGCCGGTATAGTGTCTCCCTGCATCCTGTCTTAGTTTAATTTAGTGACATGGCATCTAATACTCGTACTCTTCTTCTATTTTGTAGGTCGGATAGGATGGCACAGTTGTTAGATGAACGTGATTTGGGTGTTTTGACTTCCTCTATGAGTCTTCTAGTTGCTTTAGTGTCCAACAACCATGAGGCATACTGGAGTTGTCTTCCAAAGTGTGTTAAAGTATTGGAAAGGCTTGCCAGAAACCAAGATGTTCCGCAAGAATACACTTATTATGGTATTCCATCTCCCTGGTTTGTGCTTATCTTGGTAACTTCTATTTCTATCTTAAAGTTCTATGTCCCTTATAATCTTTTGCCTATTTTGGGTAGTCACTTGAGTGAAGTATATAAACTTTTAATACTTTTTGCAAATTGTAATTGATATTATTTAGGAATAAAGAGGAGAAACATAAGGCACTCATGTGGTGCTGCACAGTCAAGATCCTTCTTATTCTCTGCCTCATGTTTGGACTTGACAGAATGATTTAATACTTGAGCGTGATATTGGTATAGACAGAAGCTCATGCTGTCTTTTTGCACTACAGGTTAAGACAATGAGGGCTCTTCAGTATTTTCCAACCATTGAAGATCCAAATACTATAAGATCATTGTTTGAGGTTTGAGTTAATGTGTAGTTTTCTGGGAGATTTACTGACTAATAATTACCGCATATTTATGGATGTGTGTGAGCATTTAATTTTAATGATTACCTGACATGCCTTTCGGTTTCTATTCTTGACATCGTTTTTTTTGTCTATCAGGTTCTACAAAGAATACTAATGGGTACCGATGTTGTGAAGAATGTGAATAAGAACAATGCATCACATGCTGTTCTTTTTGAAGCTCTTGCTCTTGTAAGTTTCTCGCTCGTGGAAGGAGCTAACTATAGGTCAAGCCTGTACCCAGTATATTTGTTACATTTTCTTTAGAATTATGTTTAATGCAAGTTAAATTTGTGTGGTTTTCACGTGTTTTTCATCAGCACTATGAAACTAACATTATTGAGCAAACTTATGTTGAACATGCATGGATAGTTACAGCTTGCAATGAAGTAGATAACTAAATGCTGTGGCTAGATGAGTACCATGTAGTAGAATTGTTTGTGTTAGATGATTTAAACCGAGCTTTAGGGTTTGAGCAAGATATGCTTTCTGTTTTCTTTTCGTTCCTACTTTTTTTTAATATCTTTTGGTTAGTTGGTTGTGTGGTGGTGGAAGTGGTTGACTGTTTGCAAGCTGCTATGAACTCCCAATTGGTTCATGGTATTAAAAGTAGAATAATCTTTTGTTTTCTTCTTTATGTATCAGCTGTTTCCTTTCTTGAATTTAGAAAAATATGAAGACTGTTTTGAAAACGAGGTTATTGTCAGGTTCTTTTTTTTNTTTTTTCTTTTTTCTTTTTTGCCTGGCTTTTGTATCCACTCCTCCATACCTGTCGAATCATGCTAAAACAAGACTCTATCAGATTTCTGATGATACTTACCTGACCAAATGGGATGGTTGTACTATAGCCTCGTCTTTTTAAAAGACCTTGTGCCATTTTTAGATATGGAAAGCTAGGTAATTTTTGCATAAACCAAAACTGCTGGAATGTCTCCAGAACATGTGGCACTCCACACTAAGCAGGTCATATGAAAACTCCATACTGCATTAACGCTTTTTTAAGTTGTGTTCTTGTTGAACTTTAGTTTTTATGATTAGTAGCATTGATGTGTGATTTATCTTAGTGAAATTTCATGTGTATATAGACTTAAACGTTTTTCCTGCTGTATTTCTAATTTATATATGCTTCTTGAATACTTCAACAGTCTGAAATGTTAAACACCATCAAATCTCTTCCACTGTCTTGAAAATATAAAATGAGAAAAAGTAAATGGATATACAATGTAAACTGCAGCTCTCAAATAGCTGAAAAAAGTATATTCTGCATTTAGGAATATAGAGGGGCTCTGTGAACTCAAAGCATTATATGGTATCCTTATGAATGAGTAATAATTGTATTACAATTCTCTGAATGCAGGTTATGCATCTTGATGCTGAAAAAGAAATGATGTCTCAGTGTGTCGCATTGCTTGGTAAATTTATAGCTGTTCGTGAACCTAATATAAGATACCTTGGTTTGGTGAGTCGTTAGTTCGTTATCTTTATATTGTTTTTAGCCTCCTCCGTCCATTGTTGCATTTTATGAGTTGCATTCTTCATTAAAGTTCTCTGCCTTGACAAAAATGTCATGCCATTGCCTTCTCAAAACTATCTTGTTTAGTATAGAAAAGTTATTGCTTGTTAAGTTCGGTGTTGATGTGATGCAGGAGAACATGACTCGTATGTTGATGGTCACAGACGTGCACAAGATTATCTAAAGACACCAAGCTCAGATCATTACTTCCCTGAAGGATCCTGATATCAGGTGTACTTTTACCACTATATGTTCTTTGAAGACGTAGACTGACTGCTCAGTTATCGGGTGTTAGGCGTAAGCAGGCAGTGTTATCAAAACATGAGAAATCTGTGAAGAATGGCGGTTATGGTGGTGCCATAGGCCTTCCGCCATTGGTAATATTGTAAATAGCTGAAGTTGTTATCCCAGGATGTCGCTTCATGACATTTGCATGTTGAATTATCCCTTTGCTAGTGGTTTTACTTAACTTAATATAAGTATGAAGTTATACAGGGACAATCATCGCTGTCAATGTTTGGGCTGCTCTTTTTTTTTTGGTAGCTGTGGTTTCAAACCTTGAATTTGTCTCATGATCACTTGTTGTATCAACAGTATCAGAAGACGAGCCCTTGATTTGCTTTATGCATGTGTGATATTTCGAATGCTGAGGACATTGTTGAAGAATTGTTACAAGTTCACACAAATAATCTTATCTTTGATTTCACTCGATAATTTTGGTTGGCTGCTAAACAAAGCAATTATTTTCCTTGGTATGCCATTTGTTTCAGTATCTCAGCTCAGCTGATTTTGCAATGCAGGAAGAATTGTCACTTAAAGCTGTTATTCTTGCGGAGAAATTTTCCCCTGACTTGTCATGGTACAAAATATGTACACAACATTGACTTGTACTTATTAATTTATTAAACAAGGTTATCTGAAATGATTCTTGAGGAGCTGGTGAACAAATAATTTAGAAGTCCAAGAGATCTCTTAAGAAATCATACATGAATGAAAATGCCAAGATGTTGTATTTTTCTTTGCGGTAACATTTTTATTGATTGGTTAGTGTTTAATATATTTGCACTATTTTGCTTATATCAACTGTCTATTTTTGGGGTACACCATATGTTTTATGTGCTCAACTTGCTATTTATATTCTCATCATTATAGCTTTGAGTTGAATGCATCAGAGCGATTGTTATAACATTAAAAAGGTAATAACAATTAGATACCAGGCATTAAATGTTTTTTCTCAGAATATTTTGACCTACTTAAATATAATCCTGTTTATTTTGTACTAGAGGTGAACAAATGAATTCTACTGTATAATGATTTACAGTAAAATATTGTCACTTTCTGAGACTCATTTGAAGCCTTTCACTTTTCCCTTTTCCTTTTCTAGTGTAACATAGAATTACTGCTTGCTGGTGAATATAGAATCATTACCTTAGGGTTTGCTCTTTTTATGTTGCTTCATGTGAAATTTAAGTAGATGTTAGATTTATTTTTGGATATGGTCTTATATCCTTAAATTGTTCATTAGATGTTTTTCTACATCCAAGTGAAGCTGAATTACAATTGAATTTGATTGTTTCCCCAAAACGTTACATGTAAGTTTTTGTTGGTGCCCGCTGCCTGTAGAATGCTGGCTATAAACTTCTATACAGCTTGAGACAGTATCACTTCATTTCAGTGCATTCTTCAAGGAAGATGTCGTACTTATATATACCTCCTTTGTTCAGGTATGTGGATGTGATTCTTCAGTTGATCGACAAGGCGGGAGATTTTGTCAGTGATGACATTTGGTTTCGTGTAGTTCAATTTGTGACAAACAACGAGGATTTACAGGTAAATGAAGTAGTCTTTCATGTAACATATATTATGCTTGTGTCTTATAAGTCTGTTACTAACTTCCAGTTTTATGTGTTACTTTTTGTATCATTTCAGGCTTATGCAGCTCTCAAAGCCAGAGAGTATCTTGATAAACCTGCTATTCACGAGACCATGGTGAAGGTGTGTGACATTCTCTTCATTGTCCTAATATATGAGTATGTCTATATCTGCTATTTACTGTTTTTTATTGGCAAGAGATTGACATGGTAGTGTTGACAGTATATCACACGATGAATGACCAAAGAGTAATACTGTTCAGTGCAAGTTCTGATGCATCTCTTAGTTATGAATACATCTAAACTGAAGTTAATTGTCATATAATGAAATAAGTGAGTGCATATATCCTTGGAGAATATAGTCATCTGCTTGCCAGACGTCTTGGTTGCAACCCCAAGGAAATTTTCCAAATCATACACGAGAAGCTTCCCACTGTCTCGTAAGGGCAAATTCTTTTGTGTTCCTTTGCTTTTTACTTCTGTAATTCATATCTAATGGAATCAACTTTGACCAGGACATCTACAATTCCCATCCTTCTTTCCACATATGCAAAAATTTTGATGCACACTCAACTACCTGACCAGGAGCTACAGAAGCAAATCTGGGCTATATTCAGCAAGTAAATATTCTGATATGTACTTCACTTAGGGTGTGAATGGATATGGATTTGATTGGCTTTTTTATTAACTATAGTTAATTATGAAAAAGGTGGTATGGTTAGTTATTAGTGGGAATTTTAGTTTAAAGTAGAATAATATTTAAAATAAAGTATTTAAAGTTGATTTGATGTAAAAGTATGAGAAAAATGATTGGAAGTGATGGTTAGTTAAACTATGTGAGTGGATGAATAGTGAATTATAGTTGATGTGATGTGTAAGAATGATTGGTTGATATTATTTAATTATATTGATAATATTGAGGATAGTGGAGTTGAGTTAAATTTGAGTTTTGATTGGTTTTTTTTCTGGTCAAGTTTATATCCAGTCACTTCGGTCAGAAGAAATCATCTTCTATCTGTCACCAGTCATCACTTGACAAATTGTTCGTTTCAGGTATGAGAGTTGTATTGATGCCGAAATACAACAACGCGCTGTTGAATATCATGCTTTGAGTTTGAAAGGTGCTGCTCTAATGGATATACTACTTAAATGCCGAAGTTCCCTGAAAGACAGGTTTGTAAAATATTGACTTAAAATCAGTTCTTCAAATGTCATGATCTTGGCTGAAGCATCCTTTTATTAATTGTCTTCATATAATTTTTTTATATGGATGCTGAATGAAACCAATTTTCGGTTCCAGTCCTCATTGATAAAGAAGGCTGATGATTCTGAAGCTGATACTGCCGAACAAAGCGCAATTAAGTTGCGGGCCCAGCAGCAGAGTTCTAGTGCTTTGGTAGTGTCAGATCAGCGGCCAGCAAATGGGGCAGCACCAGTGAGCCAGCTTAGTCTTGTGAAGGTGCCTTCCGTGAGTAATGCGGTGAGATCAACTTCTGTAGATTATTATTAAAGGCCGCCTCAGTTTGAGGATCTTATATTTCAAAAATACTCATGTACAACTACCCAGATGTTTAGGGCGTGTTTGTATACAAATATATCTGCTCAAAACGAGTTTTTTTGGTTAACCAGGGTTAACTTTGAAAAATGTGGTATGGTTAGTTGTTAGTGGGATTTTGAGTTTATAATAAAATAATTCAAGATGATATGAAGTGATAGTTAAAATTATGTGAGTGAATGAATAGTGAATTAAAGTTGATGTGATGTGTAAGAATTATTTAATTATATGAATAATATTAAAGATAGTGGGGTTAAGTTAAAGTTGACTTAGATTTTGAGTATGNCTTAGCCTCCAACTATAGAATACCCAATTAAGTTTCCCAAAATAGCAAATCCTATCTTGGCAAATGCTACTTTGTAAAACAAATGAAGATTTAGAAGGGAATGAGGGTTCAAAATATAGCTGAATTTGTATTTTCTTTATTTATTTTCTGTAACTTTTGGTATTTAAGCTGAAGCTCAAATATTATCATCCTGTAAGTGTAAACCAAAAGCTGAATACATGGGCAGGATCAGAACTCTACTGAACAGGGATTGGCAAATGCAAATGGAGCTTTGACAGTAATGGATCCTGAACCTCCTAGCATGCTTTCTCCTGATCTACTTGGAGATCTTTTAGGGCCGCTGGCTATGGAAGGCCCACTAGACACTGCTCCTCAATCTGAGTCGAGGGCTGCTTCTGGCTTGCAAGTTGGTGCCAACCAAGATGCATTCGCCATTGCAACCGTCGAGGAGCAAGCTTATACTGTCCAGGTACATCCCATTTTACTTATGCTCGTCTATTTCTGTCCTCTTGGATGCTATTTCGATAGTTAGATGAATCTTTGAAAAAATAAAATTCCATCATAACTCTCTCAAGCACATTTGGAATTCGTTCTTATAAATGCATCACTATAATATAGCAAAAGAAAAAAATTCAAATATGGAGAGTTTTTTTTTTTTCCTTATATTTTCTTTAAGAAAAAAAATATTCTATCTATGGTACTGCAGGAAAAAAACTTCACTTAGATGGTTAAACCAGTTTCTCCCTCCAGTTTACTCTTCTGGTTTATTACTTTTATCTTTCATGGTTGCAGCCTATTGGTGATATTACGGAAAGATTTCATGCTCTAAAGCTAAAGGATAGTGGTGTACTGACCGCGCGTCGCAACGCGGCAAATTTAAATTTATAATTATTTTCCTCAACTAACCTCTACTAACTAGTAGTAGTGGCGAGTAAGGGTCGATCCCACGAGGAGCAGGAATTAAATTGTGACAATCTCGTATTAATTGAATTAAACTAGGAAAGCAATAAAAGATGGGGGGATTGGTTTTATAAAAATAAAAATAAAAATCAAATAAAATAAGAGAAGTCCAGTTTTCGGTTCAGTTATCACCCAATCTAAATCTACCGTTAATCAATTTCGACGCTTTCTTTAAATTGCTAATGAATTACCAACCCTAGCTAACAATAAGCTCTGTTAGCCGAATTTTCCCATACCGAATATTTAATCGAAATAAGCTCTTCGACTAAATCTAACTAGCGGACAACCTAGAATAAGCTCTCTAGATTTAATACACTAGCAGCATTAATTACGAGGAAAATAGATCAGTCTAAGCAATGGACGCAAAAGCTCGGACCATTTAACTTATGTTCACGCTACCCTAGAGATGCACGACCCCTAGTTTACTACTAACGAAACGAGACAATAACAATTACGGATTAAAGCCTCGAATCTAGCAATTAAACTATGAATATTTAACGTAGTTGGCCAGACTAAATCAAACACCATAATTCATAAACATTATACACAGATAACATGAATCAACTCATCAACAAAAATAAATACGGC